CGCGGGAACATCTAAGGGGCGTGCAGGATTTCCTTGTCACAAAAGTTATATCTACTTGCGAGAGTAGAAGAGAAAAAAGAAAGAAAGAAACGGGACAAAGCAGCCATTTTATTATGGAATGGCAACACTTAGGCTTACACGAATCTCTATCGTTTTTTTTTTTGCATTGTAATAATATTTTTCCCTTCGTCGTACCGCTTGCTAATTTCTGTTGCTTTGTACCTAATAGAATGCTAAGAATAATTTCTTTTAAAATAGAATTTATATGTTAACAGAAATGTAGACTTATAAGAGTTATACAAATGGCTATCGCGTGTTTTAATATGATACTGTTTTTACGATACTGTTGGTTAATTATCCGAAACATTTAACGGCAGCAAAGTTATAACTAGACGCTTGCTCGCGGCAAAAGTGCAGGTGAAAAAAAATTGAAAATTTACTACGGCTGCGCTATAACAGAGTGTTATAGAAACAAAATTCCGCCACAACCTCCCAGTATGTTCAACATAGTCAGTATTATCATTTTATTCCGCTAATGCTTCATGCTGTATCTACCGTATTCGCGCTTTCATTCATAAAACAAGCGAGGTTTATATACGGAACACATTCTGCATTTGAGGCAAAAACATCGATGTTAATGAACAGCGCATGATGAGAAAAAGTAAATCCTATGAAATCGTTCGCACGCAATAATTAAATATCATTGTAGAGTAACAGAGCGAATCGCGAATCGTATTCCCTTGCGCAACGCGATGCGTTTCCGGTCGAAGGGCAAATCGCGAGAAATGAGAGCTGGAAAAAAAGGCCACTTCCGCTTTTGACAACGCGGATCTCTTCGGGGACCGACGAACCGGCCGTCGCTGTTCGAAGAGCCCAAGTGCAGACAGGTTCGGGTAACGGGGAAGCGGAAAAAACGGGCAAAACATGGACGTGTCGACGTGTCCTGTCGCATATTTTCTCGCCGCGCGCGGGTAATCATAAAACTCAAACCGAGCGCGTTATATATGTATAAAACTGAAGCGGCGCACTTTTCCGACCGGTGTACATTCGAGTCCTCGCTTTGAATACAGCGCCCGGAGGACGGCAATAAAGAGTTTTGACAAACGGGCTAGACGCGCGAGCGAGCGCGACGCTGGGCGTCGCGTCGCCACCCACCACGGTACACAACTCTGCGTCAGTGTGTGCACTGCAGATCGCGTGGCTATGTGCACCGCCTGGCTTTTTCATTCGGCCGGAAAAACGAATGAACGTCGGCCGTGACGACAAACGGCGGGTACACGTCGAGTACATGAATACACGAGCGGCCGTTTATACATTTCGCTCTCTCCGACTATATTGCAGCTGACATATTCCGGCGTGCTTTTGCAAGATCGTCTTTGGGAGGAAAATCGCTGGGAGGGATATCGAGATCGACGGTTTGTTTATTGAAACAATTAACACCGAGTTCTAGTACAATCTATCGTGTCGCTTTCTTTTGTTAATGATTGTCCTTAAAGTCGAAACAGTTTTCATTAATATTTCAAGTGAATGATAAGTGACTTCATATACGTATACGATTTAATTTTAAACATAAAAATAAGCTACTATACTGCGAAGAAAAATAAATTTATACATTTAAACGTATAGTATAGTGTTATTTTTATACGAAAAGTAAATCAAACGCATATCATATATATGAAAGTACTTTTATACTTGGATTTGTTATGTTATAGGATCTCAGATTACAACAAAATGTAAAATCGGGAAATAAGACATCTTTTAGATAGCCCGATTTTGATTCTGTGTTGTCTTTTACACTCTAAATCCAAGTGTGTAATAAGTGCTTTAATTATATACATAAGTCTGTGATTTATTTTTCTACGTAAAAATAACACTAATAAGTGCCTTCATATGTGTATGTATAATTTATTTTTTTCGTGATAAAAATTGGAACATAAAGTGTCTTAAAGACATCTTTAAGATGTCTTTCAGATGTCTTGATTTTGGACTTTCTGTATTCTCTAGGATGCTATACTCCAAATCTAAGTGTATACATAAGTGTAATTTGGTGCGTAAAACTCTCAATTTGGACTTTGTGTTGTTTTGAATTAAAAATAAAAATTCCACAGGATTTAAATTTACAAAATAAACACGGTTCATGCAAAAGCACGATCCACTTTTGGTGTCTAATTCACTCGTTAAATAATTTTTTTTGAGAGAGAAAAAATCGCGCTGCTGACTTTTGTAATTGTTTCCATTCATCGTCGGCACGAGTCATGCCAATGCACTCTCTGTATGCTCTTTTTTCATATTGTTGGAAAAAATAAATGAACGTCGGCGACAAACGGTGGATGCACCGTCGTCTACATGAATACACGCGCGCAAACCTTTACTCTTGCTCCCATTTCATTCTCTGACGCGAATTATGACTATAGCCGAAATAAAATGCTTTTTCTTTTAAATCGTAATGGTAAATTAAAAATAAATTCCTTTCGTCTGATTTTGAATATCTGTGCGAAATTCAAATTCAGACATATCGGCGGCATTCGTCATGTTGGGAAAATCATCAACGCGTACTCGCGTTTTTAATACCCGTCGAATTTCCATCGACGAAACAATTACCACATCTGCGACGAAATTTTTGTCATTCCGGCATCAATATACAGGTTTAGCTGAGTGACGACATGTTGTATCACACGAGTAGACACACGCACGTGTCCATATACGTGTATATATATGCCCGTACCTACACACTCCACCCATTTCCTCTCATCATTCGGCATGGTCGATGGCACTTCACCCCGCACGTCGGAATCATCCAACGATGAAGCACTCGATTACTGCATTAACAATGCTACTAATTCAGCAATGTCCCGCCAAAATCCCTCGCGCGTACTCACCCTTTCCCCTCTCCCCCCCCCCTCTCTCTTTCGTTCGATTCAACTGGTTCGAATTGGAATCGATATCATATCGTTACTGTATCCGTCCGGCCTCGCTCACGAGTGTGTGTACACGGCTTTCGGCGTGGCTGCTGACACTCGTTTTCCGCTGGGCCGTTAAAACGGTTAAAACAACCGCACGACCGATACGTCATTCCGCAATGTTCACGACCGGCCGTTGGGCGCGCTGAACATGATCGCCGGCCAATCGTAATCGCTGACTCCCGATTTCCATCCGTAGTAATGAAATCGTATCGCTCGCTACCGCACGTTCAACCATCGCATTTATTCGATACCTACATCGAACGCTTTCACGCTTCGTTCGCTTTTGTATATTGCGCGATATGCACATGTCTTTCATTCAAAGAGATGTATCGCTCAATCCTAATCTTACGCGTTTTGTCGCCAGCGTAGCTAGATATTCAGTTATACGTACGAATAGATAGAGTAAAATTTGTTTCGCTTAATTCGAAATTCTAAACGCTTAAAAATTTTCCTTTCAATTAATAAAATATTTATAAACAAAAGTTGATATTGAAATCTATTGTATAATCATTGAGAACTAATTTTAAGGTAATAATCAACCTCGATGAAATATTTATTTCTTTCTAGCCTTTTGCTAATTTTCGGTTAGCAGCACAGAGAGTAGAAAATTGGATTCCATCTTAAGGAGATCCTAAAGCTTCCTGTTTTATCACGTAAGCACGTATAATTTTTGTATAAAAAATACTTTTTTTCTTTTTAATGTCAGCTATATGTAATTCTGCGTTTTAAGAATATTGTGAATTTAGGATGGTCTGAGGATGGCCAGATTGTGGTCGGAACGTCTAATGTTTTTATTAATGTAATGATAATTAAATATCACAAACTATAGCTTGTGCGGTGGTTTTTTATGCTCTTCTTTTCATACGTTCTGAGTTATAAACCACGTGCGTTTTTATGATGTATACTTTTTTTCTCTTTCACCAATTCGAAAATCCTTTTCTAAGATTAAGGTATACGCATTAATACGTGTTTGGAAAGTGGAGTCTGCGCCGAGAATCATCAAAAATTTCAAAATTGATATATTTCTTAGTGTAACATGGCTGTCAAGTCGTGACAACATTTGCTTGATATGAAAGCTTTGCAATCTGTACGTACGAAATAGTGATTTCCAGGCACGTAGATTACACGAACAAACAACGTCGAACAAACGAGTTCTTAAAATTAGATTTAGATGCTTTATCATGACGAATTTGTTATACGAAAATTACATGGTCGTATTCATACGTGTTTCTGAAATAAATATCATTACTAAACATCGTTACTAGTTACAAGCAAAGTGATCGATCTTTACACCTTACATCACGTCACACATACGTGTGACTGCGTATCATAGATTGCTTGAGATATTGCTGTAATATAAAAAGACATATCGATGTGCAGCGCGACCTCTAATGATTTCGTCGAAGTTCGAGCTTTGCTTTGAGATCCTCTTAAGGGGATGCTGAAGCGACGGCCGAACTTGATCAATGTCGATAAAATAGATTTTTAATTCCAAATAAAATATTACATACATCAAGAAAACATTGCACACATTAATTAAAACATGTACATTAAGAAAAATCATTAAGTAAAACATTACGTACATTTCTTACTCTGCTATATCCTATATATCATATGAATGAGAGATTAGTACATTCAAATCGTACTTCTCAAGTCATTTCTCTTGTAAGCTTCAAAATCATAACTTAAAGATCTCACGATATTCTTATAAATTATTCAAATATGGGAAAGTACTTTTTTTTGGATATATCCTTGCATTCATTTATATATGCTTGTATTCATTTATATGTATATATGTGAAGGAAGCGAATATACATGATAATAGAAAACTATAATTTATAATTTTTTAGGAATTTTTATACTGGTTTTTCTAAAAGTATTTACGTTTTTTTTTATTCTGGAGAAATTTTTTATTCTGTATAAGGAAAATGAAACGATTTGACAAATACGAAATTATGCTCCGTTGGTAACTCCAGCATCAACTTTCAAATATGAAGTACAAGCTAATTATCATTTTATTTGAATTGGAGAACTTACCGATCTCTATTGCTCCTTATGTATTCCACCGAAAAATTCTCCATCCATCTGAAAAAATTAAACGATTTTTTCAGATTTTCTGCAGAAATTCCGACTTAATATTTTTTAAGGTTACAGAATTTCTGAATACTAATTAAGTATCAACTCTTAAATATTATACTACGACAACGATACATTTACATGACATATCCAATTCGATTGCTCATAACTTTCATAAAAATAGACATATTGTAAATAATAGTTTTTCAATAGAAACATGACTTTAAAAAAATATTAAACAAATGTATGTATCTTTATTAATTAAAAAAGTTATAAGTAATAAAAAAAGCATTGAAAAAGCATTAAAAAAAGAGAAGCTTGGTATGCCATATCAAAAAGATGTTTAAGGGTTAAAATATATATAGATTTTATATTAAATTTAATTTAAAAAATTATGCGAATTGTGTGTGTGTTATTCTCTATCGACTCGACGAAATCTTTTTACGCGAATAAATACGGGAATAAAATTGTAATAAAAAGAGTCAACACGCCTTTTTCAGTCACGTCGTAAACCGGAGTATGCATGTATCATATGTGTTATGACCGCGTGATCGAATCAGAGGTACATCAATTACTGCAGGTATCTCTTTAGGTGCAACGACGCGCGTAACGTACACGTGGCGCAAGACTTTACGTCGATATAAACACAGTTGGCGGTAGCCGACAAGAGAAACGCGATCGTATGGCTGCTGTGGGTCGAGCGGCGCGGTGCGGCGCGGCGCCTTCCCCACCGTCGAGGCAATGAATACGAATAGGTTTCGAGATACGATCTCTCTCGGGATACGCGCGGCACGCGGGAGGGGTTAAATTAAATGATTTGCATAAGTAGGTGGGTGTCGACACCGGCAAACATTGACAAACGCGTGTGCCGCAGCACATGCTTTCTCGCTTCTTCGCGCTTCCATCTCACTCGTCTTGCTTTATCCCCCATCAGAAAAGGGGAGACCTCTCTGTACGAAGTTATAAGAATATATTATTACGAGTAATGGAAGCATACCCCCCCGAGCTTCAAACCTACGCTGTAGAGCAGTCGCCAGATAAGAGCATCGAATGCACGAGGCGACACGTGTCGAACGGAGTGTGGGTCACTGATACAGCCATTCGCAATTACACTACACACGTCATTGCAAAAGCCCTTCTATCGGGATGTTACTCTTTCGGATTTCGCTGTAAGAACCCTTTGCTCCGCTTGTTTTAACTTTAGAGAGCAAAAATCTATTTTTTAAATTTTACAGCGTTTTCTTGAGTTAATTCATTATTTGTAAGATTTATTTATTATTTATATTCGTTGGCTCAAAATATGACACCTGTTTCAGTACCACTAGAGTGGCTTTTCCTAAAGATTAAAAGTACATAGATTTGACGTCTATTCATTCGAGTTTAATTCATCAATTTCCACCGAAATCTTAAACGATCTGCAATCGATCCACGACGAAGTGACAGAAAAGACGTATCTTTTAGATTCCCCGAACAATCTCTCAGAGCGTAACCTACGCCTCCCTCGATCACTTCTCAAGCGTGGTATGTTTGCCGTTGTTGCGACAACGGCGTCACGTGTCAATTCGCATTATTACTATTTGTCGAGGAGAGTATATCGCGGACGAAGAAGAATGTACGCAACGACGGGTCGGCACGACCCTTCGTGGGAAAAGCCAACGTAAACAAAATAAAATAGAGATAGATAAAGAATGACGCGCGCGAATATCATAGAAGACCCCTCCTCACAACTTCCCTTGTATCTAATCCCGGATTGACTCGTGTCACTTATTAATATTTTATGCAAACACCATGATTTACGGTTGGGCGCGCGGAGGTATTACCCCACCGTCAACCCTCTTTCCTCTTAGAAAACCGATAACCGCAGACTCGACAATGGCCTTATCTCCCTGCATCGTCGTGACGAATGACATTTGCGTCTTGATTACGCCGGGGTATCCATTTATGAGTTTGTTCGCACAGAATTATTAATTTCCTTGCGGATGTGACGAAACAATGTTTCGCTCTTTACGTATCTACAAACTCATTTTGCCGTTTTCTTAGCGGTTCAACTATGATTTTAACAAATTATTTTCTCTATAAGAAATTAAAATTTTCTTAGAAATTCGATGGTTTTAAATTCCTTCTTTAACGTTGCGAAAAGTAAACATTCTATGGTACGCTACATTTGTGCCTTAAAATCGAAGAATTTTATTCGCTGTTATCGCAATACCAGCAACCATTTTCTGTACGCTTTCGCTCTCGTTTCTGTCCTCAAGAATTCTTACCCCAACTCGCATAGCGGAATCCAGTAGGATGCTGATGGGCACGGGGCGGTTAGAAAAGGCGAAATCTGCAAGCCAAAACGAATCAGAGTAATCCTCCGTGCGTTCTCGAAAAGCACCCTCCCTCCCTCCCTCCCTCTCTCTCGCTTCAGCGGTTCGACTACGGTAAGGGCGGAATATACCCATCCGAAAAAAAGCTCACGACGGTCGATGAGCATTTCGTAAATGGTCTCCCCCCCCCCCCCCCCCTCACTCTTTTTACGCCTTCCACTTGTCGCAGTAGCGGATGGTAACTTCTCAGAACCTAAAGTTAACAATTTTTTCAAGTACCTAGCAAGAGCATGATAGAATAAAAACAAATCAAAGTAAATAAGATGCTTCGTCTGCTTTTTACATGACATATAACATCCCATGTAGAACTTTATAATCGGCTCAGTGCTGAGCCATTATTGATTGTCACAGTTCAGATACTGGCGCAATACTACATACTGGATAATAATTTGAGTCTAGTACTGGCAGATGGTATTAGCTCGGTCATTTTAACCAGTCATTTACCAGTGATGATCCAATACTGATTGACAATACCTTGGCTGTTAGTTGACAATCATATAAGCGTTGATTTTGTTATCTGCTGATGATACCCCATATGGGATAAACAAACGTTTGAAAATTAATTTAAATATTCCTCGATATTAATACAATTCTTTAAAATCGAAATCAAAAGCACGTAAACTATTAATTTTGTACAAAGTTATGCACAATAAATCGATCATATTGAGGAAGTTTTCATATTACAATTAAAACAACATTAAGTTTTGTTAGGCTACACACAAAACCGCCCCTGACTACTCGTAGTCTTTTCTTTTACCCTCCAATCTATTCCTGGCCGCGTGAAGGCAGACGCGTCGCCACGGTGGTAGTGGCGGTTCACCACCGACCGCCCCTTTCGTTCCTTCTGAAGGAGCCATGCAAAAGTATCTTCTCCTCGTCGTTCTTCTCTGACTACCCCCATTGACTATGCTATCCTCCCAACTCGTCCCGTCCAACCTCGTCGCCGTTGTCCTTCGAGAAACCCCCGTCGCTTTAAATTGCTGATGAGCATTTTTAAATTGGTTACGTTAAGTGAATTGGTACATAGACACTCTTGTGTTCTCTCGATAAAAGTCTTTAATGAATCCAGGAGAAAGATGGCCTTGCCACGATAATGATAATATATTACTATCATCATATTATCGCTGCGTACTAATTAGTAATACACATACAAAACATATATGTATATAATAATAATGCCTTCGAGAAATCTTATAAATTTATCGAGATATCCTCTTACAAGTTCGCAAGAAGTTATAAATGTAAAAAATTAATTACTTGAAATGCACACGCAAGGATTCATACCGGAGTACGAATAAATTCAATAAATGAGGTAAAAAATATAATTAATATTCAATGTATGCAAGTTCAGCTTTGTGAGTCGCAGCTCATTATACTTATCACTGTTAGAACATACACTGTATATATTAATTATAGAAATATTATATAAAGTTACTAGCAGGAAACATAGTCATCATGCAATCTCAGTCGTGTTATCGTAATGAGAAGCATATAATTTCAAACATTTAGACGAGAACAAGTCTCAATATGTTAGATATATATTAACATCCTTGGGAAAATCGTCGACTGTCGACGAACATGATTTTTCCTGAGAATATCAAAATGAGGAAACGAATAATTGTCTCGGTTGAAGTCACCGAGCATACATAAATAAAACACAAACACGAACCAGGAAAAAGATAGCGACGAGTTAATTAAAGCCCCTGCCCAGCATTAAGAATCAAATCGAGAGAGATTCTGTTCTTTCCTCTCCTTCTCCGCTTTCCCTTCGTCGTATCCTCGGTCATACAGTTTTTCTTCCTGTATGAATGAACGAAAGGGTGAGAAACAGAGAGAAAATCGCCGCAGGATGGGAGGAGAAGGGAAGGACAAACAGCCGAAGTCTGCCTTCTGGCTTCATCCGATAAAGGGAACGAGTAGTCGGCCGAATCCGTCCGGGTCCCAGCAACAACAATAATATCGTCGTCAGTTCGTTAAGCGCTTCTTTCAGGCGACCTGTTCCTCGCCTCACCTCCGCGAGTCCAAAGAGATAACTAACGTTCCTCCCAACTACAAGGACGACGTCGACGACAACGATGACGGCCACCTACACTCGTCACGTTACATCCTGGCCGTTACGACACGTTCGAGCCAACCGACCGCTTACGTGCGTGACTTTGTCACTTAAGATAATATCGAACCGTGAAATCATTTATCACCTTTCAATTCCCACAAGAACTTTCCAGCAGAGATAATGCAATGGTGATCAACATGACGCATCTCGTTCTCTTCGATGACTTTAAACATCACAAATTTTTATCACAAATTTTTAATAAATTAAACATGAAAAAAAACGGTTTTTTAAAGTAAAATAGGATAATTTTGACCTATATAATATGACCTATATAATTTTGACAATCGAGATAATTTTGGTCCTAAAAAATGCTTAGAATGAAATCAAGACATATAACGTTTTTAAGGTCTTAAAATGTTTTCAAAATGTTTTCAATTCACATTTTATGTCTCAATTTTGACTTGCGTGTTTGGGCATTGTCATTTGAGCCAAAGTTACTCCATTTTACAGAATTTAAAAATTTAGCTAAAAGCAGATCTGAAAATAATTCCGTTAGACAAAAATAATTATATAGGACTTGAGCT